CTTTGGCACTGTTGCTATAGGAACGGTGTCCCATGATCCTCCAGCGACTTTTTTACCTTGTGCTTCGGCCATAAACAGGTAAGTTCTTGTTTTTCCTTTCAAATCATTTTTTCTAATCCAACTTTCTCTTAAACAGCGACGAAAACTTAGTATTTTCATCCCTCTATATCTAAGCTTGGAATATGGCGAGTCAACATCATCGCAAACGATCTCATTCGCGCGAAAATTCGCATCATATATCGAAGAACGGATCGTCAAAACGACGCAGAACCAGTGACAACGGTCACAAAGACGAAGAGATTCTTCGTGAAATTTTACAATCTGTGAAAGATTTAAAAGCAGATATGTCGGTCTGCAATGCCAGGATCGATAACCTGGAAAGACACACCAGTGAAACAGCCTCGCAGGCTTCCCACTCACAATGCAACGAAGCGATTCAAGATGACGCTTAGTCAGTTTCAGCGGGAAATGATATCGACAGTTTAGATGCAAACTTGCCTGAACCTACGGCTCTCGGGCCACCAATCACGGCTATTAAGCCATCAGATTTGACTATTAAGTCACCAGAAACGACTGTCGACTCATCAGATTTGGATTCTTCTGTGAAGTTACACGGGAGAGGGACAGATATTCCCCCTATTACGAAAGAGCTTAATAACTCATGTATGATCCTGATAATATGACCCTTTCTTGGTCACTTTCAGAAGCTTTTACATCCTTTTTGGAAAAAAATTTCCGCCGAAAACTTTCATTTGATCAAGTGAGTGAAATTTTAGAGAATCAAGCTGTGCCCTCGGTTGAGGCTCTAGTAGCCCCGACCCTTGACCCTTCAGTGGTACAACATATTGCACAAAACAATCGAAAATTTGTACAGGAACGGGACAAGGAACTACAGGTTGCCCAACGTTCCTTACTTAATGCCACAGGGCCCCTCTGCACCTTACATGATCGTCTCGAAAACAATGTAAACGTAGATTTAGCTGAGTTAAAAACCTCCATTGAACAGACACTTTGTCTGTTGGGCTCAGCGAATACCCAATCAGCGAATACCAAAAACAAAACTTCGATAACTGTGTCGCTCAATATGGACAACGCTACAGCTGTGGCGTACATAAACCACAAGGGCGGCACACACTCTCCTCAGCTTCTCCAACTCGCTCTAGAAATGTGGAACTGGTGCATCCAGAAGGATATATTTGTGGTAGCTTTCCACGTCCCCGGGAAGTTGAACAATCTGGCAGATCGGGAATCGCGTCTATTTACAGACAACAGCGATTGGATGCTAGAACCCAGCATCATCAAACCTTTCCTGAAACATTGCCGAACCGATCTCTTTGCCTCAAGACTAACCTGTCAACTCCCGACGTACATCAGCTGGAGACCCGACCCCAATGCGCTCCACTCAGACGCCTTCAGTCTGAATTGGAACCAACTGAAAGGGTATGCTTTCCCACCCTTCAACATGATCCCAAAGGTCCTCAACAAAACAGTGACAGACGAAACAGAAATTGTTCTAGTGGCCCCGATATGGCAAGCCCAACCATGGTGGCCTCTACTACTTCAGCTACTAACCCGGCAGCCAGTCTTGCTTCCGGTATCACCTCACCTCCTAATAGACCCGACAGAACCAAAGAGAATTCATCCAATGCACCCTCGGCTTCACATGGCCGTATTCAATATCTCACACAGCGCTATCAAGCAGAAGGCCTTCCGGCAGACGTTGCCAAACTTCTCATCGCAGCCACTCGATCCTCCACACATAAGACGTACGAATCGAGCTGGAAACGCTGGCGCGGCTGGTGTTGTCCACGGCAAATTGATCTTGTTTCAGCATCTCTGAAAGACATACTTACCTTCTTATCAGACTGCTATGACAGTGGCCTGAGTACCGTTCGATTAATGTTTTAAGGTCGACAATTTCTGTTACTCATCCAAAAATTGATGGTTACTCGGTGGGTCAACATCCATACGTGGTCAACTTACTAAAGGGCATCCTAAACCTCCGCCCACCAAAACCGGGGTATTCCATGACATGGGATGTCTCCAAGGTAACCGCCTACTTGTCTAAACTAGGAAGTAATACTGAGCTGACTCTAAAACAACTGTCTGGGAAATTGGCTACAATCTTCGCCATTACTTGCCCTAAACGGGTGTCTTCACTTTCGCAACTGGATCTTAACCATTACCGGTTGTCACCGGAAGGCATCACATTCACCTTACCACAAACCAAAACTACACGACCAGATGTTCCTGTTTTCGCTATCGTATCGTCCTTCCCCGAAGATACGAAACTATGCCCAGTTGCCTGCTTCAAACAATACATTGAGTTGACAACTACGCTCAGAAGTAATTTGGAGGGCAAACCGAATAAATTATTCATATCTTACATTAAACCACACCGTCCAGTCTCTCCTTCAACTCTAGCACGATGGATTCGCGAGTTCCTTGCCCAAGCCGGCATAGACACCTCAATATTCAAAGCTCACTCGGTACGGGGAGCTGCCACCTCGGCAGCAGCAAACGCGTCAGTTCCTCTCGAGGAAATTTTAAAAATGGCTGATTGGTCCACCGCTTCTACCTTCCAAAAGTTTTACAACCTGTGATGAACACTCAATTTGGCCGTGCTGTCCTAGGCCATACATGTAAATAATGTTTAATCGGTTCTTGTTACAGTTTGGTTTTGAGCCTGACAATAAAGGATCTTATTCACTTCAGGAGTGTATTGTGTTAAACTCTACCATTTGTAATCTCATATATTTCGACCGGAGTTCATGAAATATAATTCCAATTATACAAGGGCTGAGAAGCCTGATGTATAATTGGGGTTATATGAGTGAACGAAGGGAGAAATATATGAGTCCCTCCCGTTGGTGTTCTTGGGACACACCCTCCCTATAACTCTTTGAATTTCTCCCTTCTTGTTTGGTGTTAAAATAGTCGCTGGAGGATCATGGGACACCGTTCCTATAGCAACAGTGCCAAAGCGCGCGATTTTACTTTTCTTCTCACAGGGGGTACCCTGGTGTTAAAAAAGTGGTCCGAAGCGCGGTAAAGACGAACTCATACCATTTGTAATCTCATATATTTCTCCCTTCGTTCACTCATATAACCCCAATTATACATCAGGCTCCTCAGCCCTTGTATAATTGGAATTATTAGTTATTACTCACCATAAGGTTTTTTAAAATGGCCGCAAGTTGTTTTTCTCACTGAAGGGACAAATGAAGAAAAGCGTTATTTTAACGAAAATACTGTACCTGAAAGCACAAAAGAAGTAAAAAATGGGTCTACAAGTGTTTACAAGGTAAAAAACTAATTTGTTAAACGCTTTTCAATTTTTTTTTCGAAAACATTGTTTTGTTTGAATCGCTGTAAAAAGTTTGGAGATATTGGTTTTATTACTTTTATACTCAGGTTTGTAAAACATGCATTTTTCAAAACAGATTCATTTTTTTCACAAAATCACCTATTATCAATCATTACATTCATGTACTTACACCTTTCATGTCGATAGTCTTCCTTACTTTTGCGTTATTGCTTAATTCAGTTATAGAAATCTTTTTATATAATTACCATTTTTTTAATTTAGTTCATTGATATTTTTATCTAATTTTTATATTGTGATTTTATTCTGTCGCTAGGGTCCAAGATGGAGGCATCAATGGAGCATCTTCTGCTTGTTTCAAAGGTTTAGATTTGCCCAGATTTTTAGTTAAAGTTAAAAAATGGTAAGATATGTTTGTTATTTCGTTCAGCACCCCAGTTCTCCGGGTCTTTCCTTGCAATACAGTCTTCATTCAATAAAGGATTTGTTTGAATTGGAAAATATTGATTTTTTGGAAGATATTGATATTATTTCCTGCCAGCTTTCTTTATTTTTTAGACTTTTCAAAGAGAAGCGGTTAATGGAAATGATGAAATAAATTTTGACTGAAAAACAATCTAATTTTTTTACTAGAAAACATAGCTTTAAAAGCATGAAACTTAAAAGAGAGAATGCTTACAAAATACTTGGCTGTCTACATACAGCAACATGCATCTAATTCAGAACCGCCTTGTAAGTTGTAAGAAAAGTTGCATTGTGTAGCATTGTTTTAGTTAAGTTCATGTACCCGAGGTTTCTTTAATCAGTCTCTTAAAATAATGGCCGGTAAACGGACAATGAGGGAAAATGGTCGGAAATGCTTGTTGACCAGTTAATTTTTTTCCATGCCGGTCATTTTGACGGGTCATATTTGTTTAATAATTCGCTTGGCCTATTTACCAACTTAACATTCGCATTTGAGCAACATTAATTACCATACAGTACATAAATCTCTTGAAAAGCACTATACTATTAACATAATACTATAAAGAAGAATCCGGGTGTCTTGGTTCTTGGTTTGTCATGTTGAATTTTGAAAGCTGTGTTGAATTAGTGACCAGACAAAAACGGATTTTGACCGAGCAAAAATGAGGTTGGACGGTCAATTTAACCGGAGATACCTCGACCTGTATTTGGAGCCCTATTTAATATATACTTTTAGAGTATACCGGCAAACGTTATGCAACTATACAACTGTACTGATATCAGGCAGTGCATTTTGCTTAGCAGCTTTAGAAATGTTTCTTGAGTCAGGTACAGGCGTGAGCTTAAGTTGCACATTTACTGGGGGTTTTTGTTAACGTAGGGTATGAAGTATATACGCTGGCTGGAGTATAATACACACTTTTGTTACCAAAGCTAACTTCTGTATTTTTTGCGCCCTTTATAGCTGCACCCTGCAAGCGCTTGGATAGTGCTACACAAAGAGTTGCCTCGACGCTATAAGTCCGTGCGCTAAACAGGAAGCGCATCGCTGCCGTTTGCCATATAAGCACGAGTATTAAAGTGCGCTGACGCAAAGAGCGCATTTGAAGCTAAACAGCCGCACGCAAGTTGACCGACGACGCGTAAGAAGCAGGCCTTGACGCACGCGGTTCATAGACGACGCAGCGACGTAAGCGCAGAATCGTAGATAATCTCCATGGAAGGCGAAAAGACGGACGCGAACGTGGAGAAATCTGACGAGCAAATTTGCAGAGATTTCCAGCGAGGTGTCTGCAGTCGCGGGGATAAATGCAAGTTCGCTCATCCCTCGGGAATGGGCAGCGAGCCTAAAGATCAGCCAATGATATGCCGCGATTTCCAAAACGGCACGTGCAACCGGAGCACGTGCAAGTACCTTCACGTGACCAACCAAGAGGAGAAAGATTTTATGCGTACCGGGCAACTTCCGCCGGGACATCCTCGCGGCGTACGTGGGCGGGATTCCAACGTTCCGATCTGTAAAGATTTCCTCAACCACAAGTGCAACCGTGGATCTGGGTGTAAGTTCCGTCACATTCCGGAGGATATGTACGGCGGTGGGGGAAGCTACTACGATGAACCACCGCGGAAACGTCCCAGAGATGCGATGGATAATGACTACCGTTACCTCATGGAAGAAAATAGGGAGCTTTAGCAGTGACTCCGAGTACGACTACGAGTACGAGATTCGTCATTCTCGTGCGTTGTTTGCTTACGCCATCAGCCAAAACTCGTAGTCGTTGGGCTTTTGAGTACGAAATTTGCCAAAAAACTCGTAAAAGTATCGAAAGACGAAAAAAGACGAAAAGTATCCGAGCTGCAGAAAGATGTTTCGGATCTTCGAGCCACCAATGATATCTTGTTGGAGCAGAATGCCCGCTACATGAGGTCCGGGGGAGGTGCGGCTCCCTCATATGGAGGCGGCTACGGCACCGATTCGTACAGCGGTTCCGCTTCCAGCGTAAGTTATCCTTCACGAGATTCATACGCAGGTGCTGGAAGTTATAATGCGTATGCATCTGCCAAACCCGCCGGAACAACTGGTTACGATGGTTATACCAAGTTTGAATGAAGAACTGATTGGATATTTTAATTTAAAGTTAAACGAGACTTACCTGGAAGTTGAAGTTTGATGATAATTCTACCAAATCCGTAGTTGTACTGAGGGTTAACATGAGATGCACGCGGTGTGTTGTCGTGAGTCAGACTTTGAAGAAAACTGTTGTGGACACAATGTCCCACACTAGAACAAAGGTTATTAGCAGAGGGCGGGTAGGGATGGGCATGTTAACCCTCAGTACAACTACGGATTTGGTAGAATTATCATCAAACTTCAACTTCCAGGTAAGTCTCGTTTAACTTTAAATTCTACCAAATCGTAGTTACGTACTTCCGGTTAACATGAGATTTCAAAGCAATTGTGGACACAACGTTCAAACAACATAACAGGAAATTGACGCAATTTATTGCAACACAGCATTTTGATAAACATTATCATCAACAACAGGTTTGTTATAAAACTTGCGAAATACTGAGTCTGATGACCAACCAACATGTTTGAGTATTGAATCTACTGGTACTGTTCCTCGTGCTTTGCTTACACTCGCTGCTCTTGTACTATGAGCAGTGAACACTGCAGTGTCAACGCCACTAAGAGTTAGTGTTTGCTTGATCCATCGGCCAACTGTACTGGTACCAACTGGTTGGTGTGGTTTGGCATAAGAAAGTAGTAGCCTGGTAAATGCAGGCTTCCGAAGAGCTGATGTTCGGTCCAAATAAACTTCCAACGTTCTGTAGACACATAGTTCTGCTACTTGATATTTGCGTACATAAAGTGTTGAAAACACACGACCAGGTCGATTTTGTTTAAGATGGTCGGTAAGATGAAACAGATAATACTGTTCCGTCTTTTTCATAGCCGTAGTAGCCAAACATGTTAAAGCATGACATCTTTGTCCTGATGTTAGAGCTAGTAACGTGACAAGTTTGAATGAAAGTTCCTTTAAAGACAATTCATCGAGAGGCTGCATGGTTGCCAGATAATCCAGCACCACATTTACATCCCACGTTTCAGAATACTTAGGTGTTGGTTTCCTGGAATTGAAAACTCCTTTCAAAAACCGAACAATGAAAGGATGCGTCGCCACCGTATAATTCGTACCAGCAAACCTAGCATCCATTAAATAGCTTGATAACGCTGAACGCGCTGTGTTAATAGTCGAATAAGATAATTGTTGTTCAAACAAATTGTTAAGGAAAGTTAATACGTCATTCACAGAGGGTAACATTGAATTAATTTGTTCTTGAAAACAAAACTTGGTCCATTTGTTGAGGTAGACGTTGTATTGTTTCTGAGTAGTTGGTCTCCATGATGACATGATGACGTCGGCAACTGGCGGAGAAACGCTGCATTCAAGGATGTTGTTCCTGATATTTTGCCATTAACAGTAATTTGGGGCTCAGAGGGTGAATGTGACCGTGCAGAGGATTGAATAGAACATTCGCCGTTACCCTCAAGAATCGGGGGCACTCGATTAACAAACTTAAAAGTCTGGTGAACCATACCTGAGTACAACAATGATCATGGTAATCTTCTCCTGAACAACTTTTTGCAAACACCTAGCAATTAAGCAAAAAGGTGGAAAAGCATAACTGTTAGAGAACCTGGTCCAATTTACCGAAAAAGCATCAACAAAGGATGCATGAGGATCCGGTTTCCATGAGATATATACTTCCGTTTGTCTATTTAATCGACTGGCAAACAAATCAACATCCGGCTGACCGAAATGCCAAGCAATTCTGGTAAACTTGGACGAGTGTAACGTCCACTCTAAGGCGATATTAAATTCTCTCGAAAGTTTATCAGCAATAATATTTTGTTTCCCCGGAGTAAAGGCAGCGGACAACCAGTTATTGTGAGCTATTGCCCATAACCAAATATCTTTACTAACAGTGTCACACTCTATAGATTTGCATCCTCCCATTCCATTTATATAAGCGACCGCTGTGGTGTTATCTGATTCGATGCGGATGTGTTGATTTCGAGTTGCATGAAGCAGTGACCGTAGACCAAATTTTATGGCTAACAGTTCTAAAACATTTATGTGAATTACAGCTTCTTGTGCGGACCAAAGTCCCTGTGTTGTGTTTGTGCCAACTATAGCACCCCAACCTAGATGGGAAGCGTCAGTTGACATAACAATTTTAGGTATACCATGATCGATAGTTCGCGACGCTGTCGGAAGGGAGGAGACCCACCAATACTAGCTTGTGATAAACAGGTTTTGGCATCAAAATCCCCTTTAGATTGTTTTAATGCTAAATCTTTGTCACGCTCGAGCCCCCTGTAATATAGAGGGCCCAATTCAACTCCTGGAAACGTCGAGACCAGAGTACCAATGAGGGAGGCTAATTCTCGTATAGTAGACCGTTTTGCTCGTAACAATTGCAAACATGTAGCTATGATTTTTGTAATTTTCTTTTCTGGGAGAGAAACCGTCATAGTAAGCGAATTTAACAAAAATCCCAAAAATTCCAAACTTTGGGTTGGCTGAAAAACTAATTTGGTAGGGTGTGGCACGAACCCCAATTGGACAAACAAATTAGTGGCATTAAACGTAGCATCTTGGCATGATTGAACAGTGACCTCGAGATAAATGGAGTCATCAATATAACCTAGGCACGAGTGGCCATATTGTGATCGTAAAGTTGCAAACACAGGCTTCAGAACTTTGGTGAAAATGCGCGGGCTACTCGTTAGTCCCATTTGTAACGCTGTAAACTGATAAAGTACTCCGCGCCAGCAAAACTTAAGATATTTTCTATCTGCTGGTATAACTGGGATAGAATAGTATGCGTCTTTCAGATCAATAGTCGTCATGAAGCAGCCAGGTTTCATCATTTTCACAGCAGTTTCTAATGTGTCCATTTTAAACTTTCAGTAGGTAACAGCTTCGTTAAGTTTCTTAAGATTAAAAATCACTCGAAATTTGCCTGATTCCTTTTTTGGTCGAATGAAAATAGGTGAAATAACCTCACCAGGCTCATGTGTTGTATGTTCAATAACATGTTTGGATAAAAACTCGGTAACTTCTTTATCAACAGCATGTTGTTCCGGTTGTGATAATTTATATTCCAAATTAAAGCTATGTCTTGTTGAGGATGGTTCATAATCAAACTCAATTTTATAATTAGTCACACAACTTAATACAAACGGGTCTGAAGTAATTCTTTCCCAATATTCAAGATGGGATCTTAGTTGCCCAGCCATAAAAGGTGGTTGTTTGTTAATCAATTCATTTATGCGATTAATATAACTGACCTGTTGTGGAGTAGATGAAACTAATTTGGTGGAGGTCTTGTCTGGTTGGAACTGAACTTCGCCCCTGGCCTTCGACGGTGGGAGCCTCTGTCCCCGAAAAAGACTGTAGTGTAGATAACCGGTGACTTGATCCTTTACTGGCATTGCTTCGCATTAATGTTGCGCTGCTTGATCCTCGTGATTGAAATCTTGCATAAGGATGATATCCTCGTCCCCGCCCTCTGCGAGAACTGGAAAGCTTACTGCCAAGTTTATTGGCTTTTGCGACTTCATCAATCTCTTTCCCGATGTCATCTCCAAACAGCTCACTCGTTATAGGTGTCGTGGGGTTACACAGCGATGCATATTGTGTATTCAGGTCAGGCCGTAACAAGTCTCGACGTTTAAGATTAATTCTCTGTTGCCCGACAAGGCGAGAACAAGGGCATGGGTTAGAATCGTTCTAACCTCCCCGGTTGACTTTCCACAAGCTTGAATAATAGCATAAATGAGGACATAAATAATTTCTGACACTTTTGCATGGAGCTATCCGCTGTTTTAGTCCCTTGCTTAAGCTGGTGCCAAATAACTTTGTTAACTTTTGGCGTTACAAGCAACTGACAGTTATCTGGTCGAAGATACTTCTCAAGTAGCTCTTCGATTTTCAATTTAGGTAATTTGTTTGTAACAAGATCACCGACAACCTTGGCCAATTTTTCGTCAATTGCTGGCGCTGCTTTATCCGCTGTAGAAAATTCAGCTGCCAATTCGTCAAACGAGCTCACTGTGTCTTCAGTAGCATCAGTCGTTTGGAGTTCAGTCGAGTGTGACTCATTAATTGTCTCCTCACTTTCATCGCACACTTCATCGCCGACGACATACTGTTCGAATTGCTTGAAAATATCGTCTTTCATTTGAGCCATCATTTCCGACATCATGTTGGCCATAGACTCCTGCAACTCGTTGGGCATGAAAGCTTTTGGTGTTGGTTGCCCGTCCGGTATACAAGTTTCGCCGGAAGAGGTTTCCATCACTGAAAACCGAAAAAATATATCACTGATATCCTGAAATGATTCGTCACACATGACTAATATCAAGTCATGCTATATAACCTATGTAAAGGGGAAACGATAACTTTCTTTCCCGTGAGGTTATAACTGGGAAACTATAAATTTCTTTCCCGTGCATGCGGCATTGCCTAAGGTTGACCTAAATGGGAAACTATGACTTTCTTTCCCACGGCCTTCAGCACAAGCCGAATATGAGTGAGGCTATAAAACACTCAACTGCATATGGCCGTTAACAGGCTGATAAAGTGGCGATAATGAATGCCAATGGTTCTGTATTTATCAACTCGTTAGATCTAAAAGGGGTAATAACAGTATTAGTAAAAAATAACGCAAGAAAATAGTGCAAACATTTACCTATAATGTTCCAAAAGATATCCAAAGTTCCAGTCAAAAAACGTCCTAACAGCACGACTACACAACTGGTACTGACTCACGACAACACACCGCGTGCATCTCATGTTAACCGGAAGTACGTAACTACGATTTGGTAGAATTATTTTAAAGGGTTTTCACTTTTTAATTAGCTACATATTCAAAAGAAAACTATTGACAGTAATGAAGGACGCAATACTGCTCTCTTTTTACTTAACATGACCTTGTGGGAGAGATCGTTTGATATCCTGAGAGGCCTTTTTTTAATTGGTAAAAACTCTTGTAGAAGTATTACCTATACTTCCATGGTCGTAATATTTCTAAAAACGTTAGTCTATAACTAAATGCGGCAGTCTGATAAAACTATGTTGAATTTCATGTTACAACAGGCTATCTCACGATGCATCTTTCTTTACAAGTTAAATATTCTGTATGTAGCTTTACATCATGTAATACTTGTTTCAAACAACTCAAAAATATAATTGTTCTGTGGAAAGATTGTTTCGCATTGTCAGCGGAGTGAGATTTGGATTCTCGTGTATACGTGAAGATTTTTATTGCGTTCATTTTCTTATTGCGTTCATTTTCTTCAAGTTCACATTACATGTGATTTCCCTGCTCATATTTTAGCCAATCAGCGCTCAGAAAGTCTGTCGAAATAGAAATCCATTCTCCATTACCTAGTGAATTCTGCCTTTTGGCTCTCAAAGTTTTGTGATTTGCTTTAGCTATGGAAATTATAGCTCTGGCATAAATTTGAAACGGAAACATAGTATATTTCATAATAATTATATTAATTTGAGAACAACCCGAGAAATGGATTTTTTTAATTGACAACTATTCTCAGTCCTTTCCCGTCATTTCAGATCATCTGACCTTAGTGGCCTATTGTATTTTTGGGTCTCTGTGCTTGATTTCCTGCATTTTGGGTGATACTTACTGACGGATCCATGTCAGTGGAGTGAGGTTTATTGATTGTTATTCTTCTAAACATTGTTATTTTGCTAATATTTTCCTCAAAAGAGGAACTTTGACTTTTTTATGCCCGCACGATATGCAACAGCGCATGACGCTTTCATCCTCTGTTCTGGGTCTGACAAGTGATTTTGTGAATTTTTAGAGCAAATTTTTAGATGTCTTTTAATGTATTGATAATCGACAGGCTCATTTAAATAAATGTCACCGTTGATTGCAAGTGGGTGCAGTAAATGTTTCTTGGTTATGGGTTTGTCTACATATCAGTTCACATACTCCACTTTACATCAAAAACGATGAGGTTCATGTGAAACCTGAAGCTATATTTTCCATCAACAATGACTGATAACTTTGGTTGACTGTTATGTCACCATCAAGTTTATAGTACTCAAGCTAAATGGTGGCGATAACAAAAAGAAAAAGGTCGATCAGATCGATTAGGGTTTGAAAATTTTAGAGGACATACATATACTCTGGTCCTGGGCAATAGAATTACAGAAACACTGTAACGGTAACTATATTTCTACAATTTATGGCACAAATATTTAACCAAGTTAAACAACCTTAAACAACATATTAAATTTCATATAATTAATTCCATAATGAAGTTTGAAAGAAATTATTACAATTACAAGTTTATAGTTTATCAGTACCACTGACTGAATTCTGTCATTCAAAGTGCACGATATCTTTTCATCATTTTTTCTACAGATTCAAACTCCCTTGCAAACGAAGATCAATTCAAAACCATGTCTAAAATAGCAATAAAATATGCTAACTAAAGATAAGTGTGTAGCAAAAAAAAAAGGTGGACTGAAGATGATGTAGCTAATCGAAACTAGTATCCACAACTGAAAAAGTCGTTTTTAATGCGGAAAACGGTAAAAAGACAAGTTAATTAGTTAAGGATACCCTGAAAGAATTTAGACTTTTTAGTAACAATTTAGTAAAACGAGTTTGTGTAAAATATATTTTTATTTTTTAGCAAAATTTTGCGTATTAATACAATTTGGATTATATATACAGGCTAGTTACGCTGGTGACCACAGGGTTATATACCCCAGCTAAGCTAACAGACGGACGTTACAGCTATAGCCTGTATAACGGATGGACGAACAGACAAACGAGCAGGACACACAATTCAGCTTTAACAACGATGTTTTTGGTTCGAACCTTGGAAGAAACATACACACAGAGTAGCCTAGGAAGAAGAGCCAAGTCACGTTCCAGTAACTGCAAAAACGGTTGCTCCAACTGAGGGCAAAAATTTGCTAAATAATACGATTAAAATAAAAAAAATCCTGGTGAAATGGAAAACAGTCGTTTTAGATTTCACTGTTTCCTCATAGGAATTGATTTCTGCTTCATATGTTTATTGTACCCAAAATTCACAATGTGAATTGGGAAAATATTTTAAAACAACAAAACTGATAGCAATTCTTTAAGAATGAAACGTTGGAAAAGTCGCCACTTGCCGAGCATGCGGATTTGGGCACTTTTCGCTCATGCGTATTAAACTAGGTTACCCTAAGGGTAGTAATGCTGCCTTCAATAGCAAAACACAGAGTTGTCACAGAAATAAGACAAAAAATTGTACTTATCATTATGTTAAGCAGATTTATACAGACGCCAAAAACGTATGCTTGCATGGAGATAGAACGTCATTTTTAAGTTGACATTTGACGACCGTGAGGTCTTTTTAAATCTGCCTAATACCGAACTAAGGGGTAAAGATACGTTTATAGTTCGCCGCATAATCTTGAAAAACAACAATACAGTTATATTTAGTGTTTCTGCGTAAAGTAATTTATATAAATGGTTAAATAGTAAGGCATTGGAGAAACATTCTATTCATAGAAAAAATATTTACACTAAAGAGCGTTTCTGTGGAATTTAAAATGTTAGAACAAAGATAACAGAACAAAGATAACAGAACAGTACATGCAAAACTTCTAAAAAGTGGTAAGAATGGCTGAAGTGTTTTCGGCAACAAAGTCATGCACAATCTAATGTTGACCGTCTAAAGAATATAGTTTATATAAGCATGCTGTATATATGTTATGAAGTAGAAAGCTTCTCTATGGAGACAACATTTCTTTTGTTGTTAAAGAGTACTTTCGCCTCAACAGTTAAAAGAATTTCGTCGTCAGTTCCCTCAAACTCGGTATCGCAAGTGTTTTGCTCTTTGTAGATGTTGAATAATTGCTGTAGTTTGTCGTCAAACAGCAACAGGGTGGTCGTGGATGTGCCATCCTGAAATAGCACAGTATAGTTCTGCCAGTATATTAAAACCTAAAATGGTGAATAACTTAGGATTAAACTGTGTCAAAAATAACTTTTTGAAGTCTTTATAAACGATCCTGTCGGCAAAGTAGAATACAAATGGGCGGAAATTGAAAGCTTCTGTGTAGACGGCAGCAATGTCACAAACATGCAACAACACGAGGTCGAATTTCTTCACAAGTCTATAAAGTGCGCATTATACAGCGCGCTTATACACGCAGTAAAATATCAAGTACTATGACTAACAAACATTTTTGAGTTAAAAGTATAAATAAGGTAAGGGCTTTACAAAAAGATAATCCGAATGAAAAGCGCGCAACATACAGCGCGGTTATACAAAGTACCAAGTACCATGACTAACAAAATATTTTTGAGTAAAAAACATAACTAAGATAAAGCCTTTATAAAAAGATAATCCTGAATGGGCAATGCAGAATGAAAACGTGAAATTAAAAACTTTCGTGCATGCATAGGCGGCAGCAAGGCCACACAAACAACTACACGACTAACACGAGGTAGCTTAAAAAAACTCACCCTTTTTTATATAGTATGTTCTCGTTGAAACGTTCTGCCAGTATATCAAAACCTAAAACGGTGAATAACTTACGATTAAACTGTGTCAAAAATAACTTTTTGAAGTCTTTATAAAGGATCCTGTCGGCAAAGTAGAATACAAATGGCGGAAATTGAAAGCTTCTGTGTAGACGGCAGCATTGTCACAAACAACAACACAAGGTCGAATTTCTGCACAAGTCTATACAGCTTGCATTATACACGCCCATGACTAACAAAATAGTTTTGAGTAAAAAATATAACTAAGATAAAGATAATCCTGATAAGATAAGATAATCCTCAATGGGCAATGCAGAATAAAAACGTGAAATTAAAAATTTTGGTGCATGCATACGCGGCAGCAAGGCCACACAAACAACTACACGACTATAACACGAGGTCGAATTTCTTGATGTCAGTAAAGCGCGCAATATACAGATACACAAAGTAAAATACGAACGACTATAAAATAAAATATTTTGTGTTTAAAGTATAAGTAGAGCCGTAGTAAAACAAGACCCTTTCTACGGTATATAGTAAACTCCCAACTCGTGAAATACGGAAATGTGACGCCAACGTAAAACGTTCAGACTGTATAATAAATTAAAACCTAAAACGATCAATAACTTATATTTAACTCGTAGACATAGAAGTACATCGAGAATAGGCTTTAGAATAAAAAATCCTGATAGCATCGCAAAATCCGTACACACAAACAACTACACGAGGTCGATCTTTTTTAATATGCCTAAGCGCGTGTGAATTTATATTACAGCGCGGTTATACACTAAGTAAAATACAAAGTAAAACGAAATACTTTAAATTCACAGTAAATCCAAAGTATATTAAAATAACTTATAAGTTGATCAGTAATATCGAACCTAAAAAACTCACCTAAAGTTAAACTCCAGACGACGCCAGTGTATTACAATCTAAAAGGATACGACTGCATGTTTACCACACGAGTATAATTGTGTAAATGTTTGACAAGGGAATAAATAGGCCTACCTTGGTCTTTGAAACGTAGACGTGAAAGAGCAAACAATTGCGACCACGAAGGTTTTATTCAAAGAACCGAAATGCATTATGGTTGAAAAAAGAACTGCGAAAAGTGTGACCACAATGCATCGCTCTTGGCAAAAATCAAGATTTCGCACGCTATTTCAAATTTAGGACTGCTGCCTTGCTCGGTCGCTCAGGCGACCTCGCTGCGGCAGCAATAAACGCCATATCTAATTACTATACGCAACCGAGTTCCAGTCACTGCTTGGGGCCAGCTTACTCTGTTTTGAATGTGAATATATTCTCACCGTTTGCCCCGCTGCACAATACCATAGCTGAAAATAAACTAAGAATGGGGACAAAATGATTTTCAGCTAAGAGTAAAGTGCGGCGAGGAGACGGTGTCGCAGCCGAGGGGAGGTGGGTGGGATGAAAATTCCTTCCTGTATATGCAGCCAGGTCGTCTTCGTGGCAAAATGTGAAAATTTGCTGTTTTCCCGGTCTTTTATACCAACTGTGTTTATTCATGCGATTACTCTGATGCTGCTTATATTTGCATTAAGTTTTAACGCATTAATATGGTATTGTTCAGCGAAGCGCCCAGTGGGAATATGAATATATTCTCACCGTTTGCCCCGCTGCACAATACCATAGCTGAAAATAAACTAAGAATGGGGACAAAATGATTTTCACACCCGAGCTTCGCTGGCTCTGAAACAACATTTGATCAATCCTTTCGCGTTTACTGTGCAAATACTCTCTCCAATACTCAGAAAAAATATGAACTTGATATATTATACAAGCGTTATATTATCTAGCATTATGGCAAGGCTTCTTTCAAGGCAAGGCTTGCTTCGAAAGGTTTCTCCAAGTTGCCGCATGTGGGAATCTTGGAGGGTGGACGAAGCAGAAGCGCCGGTGGTTAAGATAGGAGAGGTTTAGGTGGGATGCATGACCGCATCCGTTTGGGTGTAATATTGTGCGGTAGCGACACTCCTCCAACCAATGTGTTTAGCTATAGATTCGTCGGAGGCGCCCAGTAGTGACAACGTTATAGAACAACCTGCCCGGAAGCTGTGGGTGGTCTCGCCTTCATCGAGGTTTAAATTGGAGAGGTACTTCTTTAGACGATTGGTAACAGCCGAGCCAAGAAAAGAGCGTTAGTAACGCAACCTTTGGGGTCCGTGGAGCGAAATAGAAAACCCTGGCGTAGGTTGACGTGCATTCTGTCACACAGGAGGACGTATAACTGAAGGTTAGCGATCGGGGACAGGAGGATGGCGAAGGGGAAGGCTTCACAGCGAACACATGGGTGTGCTTTCCCCGAAGTGTCTTACCGCAGGTGTGGCGATTTAAGAAACCCTCGTTACCAGGCAGACACATGACATTATTCGTTTTCAAGCGTTCTAAGTGAGAAACACGATCGCCGGAGTAGAGATCCAGGCAGAAAAAGGCTAATATCATGTTGTGATAAAGACGCCTTGATTGAATTGCACAATGCCAAAAATTTTGTCAAAGAACAAAGGAACGGGTTGTTTTGGCGTCACTTGTTCTTCGCGGACAGACTTCAGATAATTAGAGACAGTTGGGTGACTAGCTGGGTTACCAAAGCCCACGGAAGGGACATCAGAGCGATCAAGAGGGCCCAGCGATGTAAATATTGCCTTTAACTTGGCTATATAGTTGTCGGTCGTACCTGACGCGAGCCTGGTAGGACACTTGCAGGTTGCACGTCCAATAGAGGTACCCAAAAATGGACAGGCGTCCGAGTCAAAACGTTTGTTTAACCTGTTTTATCTTTTCAAATCAGGAAGCGGATCACATCCCCAGTTGAAACAGAAATCAACGTTTTTGGCTGTGGAAGAGACGCCAAGAATACCTCCTCGTCTTCCTGTAAACGGGACTTCTGACACTCGTACGGCTTTTGGCCTCTGACGGACTGGAGGGATTGGAAGCGAGCGTTGATATTCGGTAAATCTATATATGGAAACGTTGGTGAATAAACTCGATGGAATGTTTGTTTTGAAATCCACACCGTTGAAATCCACATCGTTAGCATAATGGCATTTGGGGCAACATTCAGCTGGTTTCCACAAACGAGGAACATCACAGTACTGTCAGTACACGTGCCTGAACAGTACGGAAACGTTAGTATGCAGAAGGGATCCTGAAGACCCACAGGTCCCATGGCAGTGGGCGGGTCCTGAAGCCGAAAATCCTTAATCAGGGAAAAGTAAGACACCAGTAGCGCCCTTTTTCCCAACATGAATAAAGTAAACAACGATGTTTTAGTAACGGCCACCAGTAGCGCCTGGGTGTAAGATCCGGAACGACGACAGAGAACGGGCAGCGTTGGGTTTGAAGAAACTTTAGAAGCGGACCGATTAGCACAAACGGGGGAAAATCATTGGAGACTGAAAAACGCCTGACTACGCTTGGTAGGGAGAACGTGATCGTAACCACTCTTGTCATGCATGACTGTTTGGTAGTGGTCCTTTTTAACATAACGTGGGGGATCAGTGAATTTGTCCAAAGAGAAAGGGAGATCTTTAATCCAAAGATTCAAAAGTCGAAAGAAAGTGCGCGCCAGGCACATAATTCCGGTGGAGCAAAGCGCAGATGATTTCCCGTAAACAATAAACGTAATCTATAGCTTTAACAAGTACATAATTCATAAACAGTTCTAAACCGTTTTAATACCGCTACCACCAAGACGTAGATTCGCCCCTATTTTGGTCGCCTCAACGAAAAATATAGCTAAGTACTCCCAAATGGGTATAATTACGTAAATAAACGTATCATAAATCCACGACGTGTGTAGGACAATTCGAATCTAAGCCTGGTACGTAACAACGCAGAATATATTTTTTAAAGTTTGTTTGATTTTTACAACATTGAAGTTCGTTTATATGTGTTGCAGAATCTATAAAAATCACAATATTCATCAGGAGCGTAAGTCCGGGTTTACACCGGTCGCAATTCATAGGTGAGCTATATTGCTGGAACACAGGCAGCATTAATCCATACCGCCTCACGAAAGCATTAGAGGTACGTGAAACTTATACCGGTTTGAGGAAAAACGTAAACAATTTTTTAAGACTTCAAGGAAAGCACCATGAATTTCTATCGCTGGATCGCAGCCAGCAATTTTGTTCGTCTGAACTAAATGCAAAAGCGTAAATAAATTGTAAATGGGAAATTGCCTCAACAAAAACTTAAATTCACACCTCTTCTCCAAAAGCGTATGGACTGGTAACCTATACTCGCACACCAACAAATGAAAAGCCGTAAATGAATCTAGACTGGTACAGCAAACGCATCATAAATTACACTGCTGCCCCAAAAGTGCGTAGAAGTAAGTTATATGGCTTCCACAAAAGCATAAATCTAGATTGCATGGTTCAATTCAGATCGTAAGTCCCTACTGCTTCACCAAAAGCGTTCAGAGGTTGCTTCACCCAAAGCGGGAGTAGATTTAAACCAGTTCAATAAAGCATCTTAATTCATAAACCTATATATCGCTTCACCTAAAGCGTCGACTGGGTAATCTTATATCGCTTCGACAAAAGCGTAAACCAATCTAGGTCAGTTCAATAAAGCAGCGTAATCTCATAGCGCTTCACCAAAAGCGTAGACTGGGAGGCGTATATCGCTTCAACAAAAGCGTAAATAAATCTAGATTGAGTTCAAGAAAAACATCGTAAATCTATACCGCTTCACCAAAAGCGTAGAGGTACTTATGCCGCTTGGACAAAAAGCATGCGTAAACATTTTATTTATGTATTTTAACCAAATGCAACAAAAGGCCTATAAATTTATAACGCTTAAACGCAAGTGTAGGTAATCTTGGCCATCTCAACAAAGGCGTAATTAAACCGAAGTGGCAAATTGCTTCAACAAAAGTATCATAAATCTAAACCCTTAATTCAAATCAAAAGGAATTTGATGCCGCCTCAACAAAGGCGTAAAGAATGTATATCCTGTACTAGACCAAAGGCAAAAAATTTCCTATATGTCTTTCAAAACGCGGGGGAGATATAACAGTGGTATTAGTATACCAAGGAACAACTATAATAATTATAGGATACAAAGCTCCCGCCCTCAACCCGTTACCTAATCTAGCAACAGGCAAATATGGAAAGGGTTATACACACGAAACGTCGACCCGGTGAGAAGCACGACATCCGACTCAGCCTCTGAACACGGGTATCCCGTCGTAGACAGAATGTAAGGCGTACTAAGAGTGCCTCTCCCAATGAACAGAAAGCAAAGTAGGAATTGCACTACCAGAAGGAAAACGAGACATGTGGACAAATCCCGTAAGCTTTTGAAAGAGGAGCTTAAAAAACCCTGTCCCTTACAACGAAGCTAAGCCTAAAGCACTAACCCTGCCGAGTAAAAACAATACGAAGAGAAACCTGCACTGGGTATACGCGGCTCTTGAGGCTGTACTGGCGGATTTACGGGGTTATTGATCTCGACTGCAATATCGTTTAACTGTACGGCTTGCTGAGGTGGTTGGTGTTCTGCTAAAACCGCATCAATATGCACTGCCAGAGGTTGAACGACTGGGTCGTCCATATCCAACTTATAGCTCGGCTGCGACACTCCAACAGCAAAAAATTCCTTCCTGTATATGCAGCCAGGTCGTCTTCGTGGCAAAATGTGAAAATTTGCTGTTTTCCCGGTCTTTTATACCAACTGTGTTTATTCATGCGATTACTCTGATGCTGCTTATATTTGCATTAAGTTTTAACGCATTAATATGGTATTGTTCAGCGAAGCGCCCAGTGAGAATACACGCGTCAACCAATTGCGCGCGCGACAATGGCGATATCAAACAAACTCGATTCAAACAAATAACGATTAGTTAACTACAGAATTTAGAATATATCAAAATTTAACTCACAAAATCAACAGAAATGGCAAATAAAGTGCATATAGTTGCACACATGATACTTATCTGCAACCGCGTGCAAATGTAGTATTCACTGTGCGGATGTAACGCTCTTTTCTTGACCGAACAACGCAGCGAAAAATTTTCTTCCGCACGCGATCAATTCCGATTCAATATACGAGGCAAATAATCGCAAATCGGCAAATAAATCATTAGAATAGAAAGAAATTAATTCTAACCTTTTCCGTGGTCTTTCTTTGAACTTTCTTGGAGTTTGTTTTTGTTCATAATTTCCTCTTCGATCAAGATTCTCTTCGC